TGAATTGACTTTTATTTGTTATTATTAAAGCAATTCAATCATGCGTTTCTAAATTCAACAGCAATGTGTGTTTAGAAACAGTGTTGGATAAATCACATACATTTCTAAAGACAGTGTTCATAGGGCCTATTTATTTTTGTAGTAATAGTCCTGGTGTTTGCAGTGAGGTTTGTGCATTTATCCCCAGTGGAAAGGACATTATTGGAAAAAAAATATGGCGGCATTACCCTTTTTTATGAGTACCCCAGAGCAAAAACATCTTCCAAATAATGGTTGCAATATCTTCCCATAAAGGAGGTACAGAACTGCTGACCTGTACTCATGCCAGTGTCCTATTGGTCATATGACAAAAGCATATAGCAGTGATTACATATGTTTTGGTGACCAAAGTGATCCACTGTTGGACTCCAGAGCAGACTTAATTGTAGCTTTATTATTTACCCATACCTGTCTACCTCTCTCTACCAGGCAAAGCCACATACTCAGGTAATAATGCCGGACCTGTCTTTGTTGGTACACTCATTTTTTAGCAAACTTGCAATTAGGTAAATTTCCTCTGGCCTTTTGAGTCCCCAGAGCAGTTGCACTACTTGGCCCAAGACAAGTTATTCAAATTACACTTTTCATTTCATGCTTTCAGCACCAAGTGAATTCCTGTCATCTCGGTTGATTTGTGATCGCAGAAATCTCAGGGACACACATTTCAAAGCCACTACAGGTAAGAATATGTTTATGCATTTAAGTGATTTGGGGGAAATAACCCTTTAACTTAGCCCTGGATACTAAGCAGATGTAAAATCAGTATTCAATACAATTATACAAATATATACATTTGTTCATGCTGATTTAACACGGAGGTATTAGATTTGGTACTAAAATGTTCTGTCTGTCATCTCATTGGAGGACGTGGACTTTATTGTTGTTGTTAAATTTACAGACCACAAGAGGGCAGTGTCAGGCTGCTGAAAGGAGTGTTTTTTATTAAGCATGATTGAAAGGCCATAAAACACACTTCACTTAATGTGCCCTTCTATTATTTAATTAATTGTTTTGCTTGCAAATAATTGCTCAAGGGAAAAATCTATCAGCCATGAAGTGAATTGCTTGGGCAGGCCACAAATATTGAGTCTACTGACATACAGTTCTACAACATGCGTGTCATGACTGCAGTTCTGTAACTCCTGTGAGGAAATATTGCATCCATTACTTGGGTTTTAACTCGTTCCCAGAAGCGTGATAGACCAGCAGCACTCCAGGAGTCGTTCAGGCAAAGCTCATATCCCATTTGACGCTGGGCTGCTTATAAATAGCCCTGACAGAGCAGGCATGGGAACGGGACAGTCAAAAATAAATGCATGCACATACAGAAGGTTTTAGGCAATGTTTGAGGAAGACAGTCCTTTTACCAGCTGTTAACACTGGATATAAATTCTTTTAAAATGCAAAAGGAATTACCGATCAGTACAAGCATGAATGTATTCTAAGGCAGCTTTCTTTGTACATCTCCCCAGACATTCTCTGTTGGAGTGCACACAACAACACACCCCATTGTGATCAATGCTTGCTTTTCACGCCCTTCCCTCAAAATTCTCCTCTGAGTGCCTGTGTGTTTTTGTTGTCTTGCTGTGATGCCTGCAGTGAAAAACACAGTCACAGTGCTGAGTTAGACTGCCAATACAAGTGCCTGTCATTCCTCCTGCATCCTACCTTTTTACCCTGCGGGGTGAGCGCCCACACTACAGACTTGCTCTTTTTCTAAATTAGCTAGACTCAAAAAGAGATACACAGTGAATTATTGTAATAGTTTTTGGAAGATGCTGCTGATGAAGAATTTACTGCACACACTCTGGTTTTTTCCTCCAGCAGCAGCCAAGTCGGTTGTATAAAATATGTTGTCCTGTTTTTTTCTGTCAATTTCTTGACAATTTCTCTCTTGGTTTTTGTTGTGTAGTTGTCCATTAAGTGTACTTAACTGGTGCATTGCACCTTGCTTTTTTGGAAAGATGTCTACCTTCCCATTTTCTTTATATAATGACCCTGCTGTTTGAATTACAGCCTGTACCCAAATGTAGTCCACAATCCCCCTCAGAGGCATCTTCTAATTCAACGCAGATGGCAAGTGGCAATAATAAACTGGCACCAGAATCTTACTAAATATGTCATTACCCCATAAGCTTGGCAGGGTGAGCCTACTGTCCTATTTATGCAGTCCTTTGTCCTACCCTTCATAGAATATGATACTCAGATGGAGGGACATGGGATTCTCAACTCATGGAAACAAAGTATGTGATGCTTTGAGGCAGCAAGCAGCATGCAACAAATGTGACTTTTCCACATTGTTGTTTCTCAGGAGGATCAAACACATTTAAGAGAGAGTCGGGTGTGAACATAACCAGACTCCTTCGCAGTGACAGCACCAGCAGCGGCTTGTTTAGCTGTGCCAGCAGGAAAAATGGTGACAAGTACGCTGCCCTGAGGAATACCTTCTGTTGACTCTGGCATGCATACAAATCAGTTGATGGATGGATGGAGAAACACAGAGCTACAAATGGTATATTTCATCGAAGAAATGTAATAACCGCGAGCCTGGCAGATACACTGGCTCTCATAGTCCTGGCATTGATGCTTTTACAATCCCCACCTGCTCCTTATACCTTCAATTACATCACAGGTGACATCCAATCTGTTATCCTTGTCTGCTACGGTATACTCTAAGGAGAGATTGAGATGGGACAGGCAGAGGCATAATGGCAAACCTGCAGCTAACAATAATCTTCATTATTAACTAATCTTCTATTTATTTGATAGTTTGCTATGATATAAAGAAAGGCATCCTGGTTTGACATTTGAGAAGCACGAAGCATTGCATTTGTGCTTTAAAAAATATTTAAATTATTAAGCGATTGTCAAAGTTGAAGTTTTTATTCAGACAACTTATACATGAATCGACTGATAGATGCAACACATTTGGGGACTATTGCTCCAATGAACAATTATTTGAATTGTCTATTAACCTTTAGGTTTCTTTAGCGGCTAATTGATTAGTTGTATGGGCATTTCCGAGATATTCAGTTTACTCTACTGTATAGAGGAGTAAACAAAGCATATCATTTGCCAACTTAAGGAGGTGGAATCAGGATTTTTACCTTTTTGTTCAGAAAAACTGCCAAAACAGGGTAATCAAAGTAGTTGGCGATTCATTTACGAACAAACAACTAAGCCATTAATATTTGCAGCTCTCTTGTGAAAAATATGATCTCATGAAATATGGCGTTTCATTTGCTCCTTTGTTACATGATATCACCATTTTTTGAAGGCCCTTGAAATGTCAAAGTTGTTCAATCTGATCTCTCTCTGAAGTTTCTGGTGCCCCTTGTTAATCAGGTAATTTTTTCCAATAAATGAATCTGGATGAGAGATATATTCCCAAATGAAAGCGTTTGATTGCATTCATGCTTTAATGACTGGAACTGACAGCCCTGATACACAGGCAGTTAATAAGAGACAGGCTCATTTCCTTTTCCTCAGTCTCTATCTAAGAAACCATTGAGGTGCTCGCAGCTCATCCAAAGAAGCCTCAGCTGAACTGATTGAATAAGGCCCTATCTTTGTTTTCCTTCTAGATTCAAAACAAGTTTGTCAGAGTAATGCGCTGTGTCACAGAGGATTTGGTACTAGGTCTGAGCTGAATGTTAAAAACCTCTCTTCTAAACACACATCTTAGCTTACATAACAGCCAGAAAGGGAAGTTAGGATGCTTACACGTCAAGTCCAGCTCACTTGGGGGGATATACCAGCATTTGAAAGAGGCTCCCAGAGAGACGATCTATTAGATTTTGGGGGGTTTGTTTAAGAAAAGCACCAGTTAATCCAAATTGTATAGCATAAGGACACAGTACAATGAATAAGCCAATTAGTTGTATTTTGTATTGTGTATTGTGTACTGTATGTAAAGCACTTTGTACATTCGTGTGGAGAAGGGTGCTATATAAATAAAGTTTTATTTACTTACTTAATTAGGAAGCCCAGATGAGAACCTGTGACTTCTCTAATGGTGTAAACGTTCTGAAATGCAGCTCTGCACCCATTGCTTCATTACCATAAAGCCATTTGTAAAAGCACTGATTAGCTGTGCAAAGAACACTGCAATGTTTGTTCTTTTCCCTTGTTATAATCCCACTGGCACGGGCCGTATTTCAACAGAACTGGAGGGCAAGATTTCACTGAACAAAGTGCACCATCAGCTCCCTTCTCCAATCCCAGACATTGTCTCTGAGTCAGCAAAATTCAGAGCATTGCTCTACCAATCAAAACCACATCGACGGATGAAAATTACAGGCAAGCTTAAAGTCCTGAAGTGCCTGTTAAATCACAAACACGTCAGGAGATAGCTGGCATTATTCACATGCACCACAGCAGCAGCGGCTGTGTTTGTCATCGGGATATTTATTGTTTGAATTAAATATTTGGAATTGAACATGAGGCTGCTGCGTAAGTGATGTTTGCAGAACATGAGTATGTGATGTGGACAACATTAGGCTACAGTTAAACAATTGACTTTGAAATTGAATTTGAAAATGTTAACTTCATTTGGGCATGACACTCTGCTGTGTAAATGCTCAGCCATGTTAGTTTTGTTGTGTCTCTCCCCCCTCTCTCTATTTATCTCTCTCTGTCTCTCCCTCTCTCTGTCTCATCTCAGAGATGGATGGGCCAGCATCACCCAGCCTCCAGCTCACAGTGATTGACATCATGCTGCTCTATAATAGCAATGATTAAAACCCAATTAGCTGAGTTGCAATAGTGGATTTTGCACAATTAAATACTGATTTGCAAGATAGGATGATTTGTGTGAATGGGGGTACACAAATAAACATTGATACACATTTATTTCCATCATACAATTGTTGTCTTCAATTCACGCACCTGTCAAGGAAAGGCGTGAAATCGTCGCATCCAATGGTGATGCCATCAGTATACTTTATTTTCTTTGAACTCACTTCTATGACTGGAGTACCCCGGGTTGTAGCCGTAGTAGCCGGTGATCCTCAGAATCCGGTCCTCTATGTCGTGCACCCCGTTGGCTGTCACTTTGGTGCTGCCATCTGTGAAGACATCGCAGCTGCCACCGGTCGTCGTCGTCTTTCCCGATAAGTGCGTGTTCACCAGGGGCTCCAGCCGGATGCAAGACTGGTCTGCAGCACTCTCCAAAACACTCTCGATGCTTAGCATTGTTGGTCCGAGCGGACAGAGATGAGAAGAGACCGGGGATGAGCCCTGATCACCCTGCGAGAGACCCTCGGAGCTGCATCAACAATTAGAAACACGAGCAGGACATCCACATTCCTTCAGTGATGCTCCTGCACGCAGAGCAGCAAGGTTATCACTGTCCATGAGCCTGGCACACACCGACCACCAGGGGGCGTGTCACAACTATCACATGCTTTGAATTCAATTAGGAAAGGTACAAAAAAAAATATGCTGTATTCAGCAGCAGTGTGGAGCAGAAGAGCTGACCCACTGCACCCTTAATAAAAACACATTCATATAAATACAAATCTGTATGGTATCTGTCAAATACTAAAGCTTTAATATTTAAGAGTCTACTTTTTTTCCTCCTCCATTATGGTATTATAATTCCCTAAGTGAGAATACGAATTGGTATTTGATTTAAAACCTTTGATGAAGGCAGTAACCATGATAGTTTTTGTAATGTTCATGTTCGGGTGATGTTACAAGTGTCCTTTGGCACCACTGTGATATTCTTGTAACATTTCAATTGGTGCTTGATAATTGCTTCTTTATTGGTCTAAAAAGATATTTCTCTCTGAATTGCATTTTGTATCTAAAAATAAATCACCAGTAGATAACCGGTCTAAAATAACTTTGCTTTCACAGCTGGTTGTAGAATATAAACACCAAAAAGATTAAACAAATCCTCTCATTTAACCCCACACAACAATATCAAACCAAGAATATATTTTGACACCTTTATCATGCTACTTCTTTTCAAAGTGTTGCAATTTGCTGTTCACTATAAAATATGTATGAAAAACGAATATGGCACAGTTTTGTTTCACTCACTGGTTGTATTGACCCCGCTCTACATTTAAATACAGGCCACGAGTGTTATTCACTTTTTCTAGAATGGTTTACAGATTAGGAAGTGTGTGCACATTATGTTATGCCATATAGAATGTTTTTCATATTTCATAACGCTTATCATGACATGAATTTCATACTAAATTTAAACCCAGAGCAATCCCTTTTCTTCTTTCCTCTCTTTTCCTTGGCCATAGCTTTTCTGGTTGGCTCGAGGAAGCTCCACTTGACTGGATCCCCCAGCTTGCAGATGTGAAAACTGGGCTCCAAATCCAATAACACAAGATGCAGTATTCCAGTGTTTCTCCGATACGCCTCTTTCCAAGTCCTTTCCAAGTCCTCCTCTCTCTGTGTGAAATCGATTCCCGGTGTGTGGAGAATTTGCGCCCTTGTTGGCATTGTTGTGCAGACACATGCTGGGGTTTATGATGCCCTTGGACTCCAGAAGTGCTTCCTCCCCCTCTCTTACTTACTAAACCAATCTCCACCTCATGTTCTTTTGTTTCAGTTTGTTTGTGCTCCAAAGCACTTATCTCACAAATTCAGTGCAGGGACAGCTTTGTGGCTACAAGAATAAAAAGCCAGTGCCCAGAAAGTTTCTCCACGCTCTTTGAGATTTGCTCATTTATTATTGGACACCCTCTGACAACAGTGTGCAGCTACAGTCCAAAATAAGTTGTCTTCAATCACCTACTTTTGTTGTGGCTTTTTACAAGTTGGTATAGTTTATGCAAAACACAATTTAAATAGCCACATTGGAAGATCATTTGTTGGTGAATTCCCCTCATGTTCCAGGTACCACTCTGTATTATTTTCTATCAGCTGCTTATGCTTTAAAATAAATCAACTCAATGGAAAAATAGCTCTGTGACAGCAGTGGGCTCATTGAAAGTCTATGCAGCCATAACCCACATTAAGAATCTGGTTTATGCATGAGCTGTGACAATGCAAGTTCTAGCCTTTTAGATTTTAAATCCACACATACCGCACTGTAATACGTGTCATCACGACCAAGTGATCTCAATAGAAATCATTCAATCCTTGGAGTGTTATCTTAAAAGCCATCATGAAAGGAAGATTCTCCTATCTTTTTTAATATCATGTCTTATTGTCCCCCAGCCACGAAGATGGAATGAGGCTGACTTCAATCTCAGACAACACGATTAGCATTCATTGCATCCCCAAACACAAATTCTCTGTGCATGCTGAACGTTGCCTTGCATTCCTCTCCTCTAACCTCGTCTAATTCAGGAGAATATTTCAAAGAACCCAAAGCCTATTATCATGTTCATTAGATCCTCAAACATTTTCCCATTATTTGCTTCACGTGTGATGTGACACACAATCTTTCTCTTGTTGTACAGCCGTGTTTATTATGTGCAGAGTGTGCCTTCTATTTTTAGATCCTGGTTCTGATTTTCATGCTGAGATTTGATGGAATTTTTGGATATAAATCAAATGATAGTTTGACCGTAACTGCCTCACTCTTCTGTAGCTCATTGACTTTTATCCTCTGCGCTTGCTGTAGGCATCCAACCATAAAACCTAATCCTTTGCCTAAGTGGAATAAAAGGACACACTGAGGAGACAATATGTCCCATGTGACTCCATCCCAGGCAAACCCAAGCGCACCAACACCCCCCACAGAGGCTCAGCAAGTCACCTTAGAGATCAGTGACCAACTCCCCAGCCACCTGCTGTATAAATATTCAATGTGCACTAAAGATAACCTGAGTCGTGCAGCGGGGAGAGAGAAAGGGGTTCTGTTCGGCAGGAGAAGGAACAGTCATTTGAATATGGCGAGCTCAACAGTGGCTGCATGGCTGCAAAGGTCACGTTTGAAAGTTTGGTAAATAATTAATAACTTTGATCACCAGTTCTCTGTGGTAATGTATGGCTTTAATTAGACAGAGTGCAATGAATGTATGAACAATTAGGAATACATAATCCTATTGGAGCATATTCACAGAATGAATATTCAAATTTCCAAGCAAATAATGTGTGACCAATGCCAGAAAATAAATCTGACATTTCTCTTCCTATAATACAGCCGACTCTCTTGTACAGCATCACAGAGTGTAGGTTTGACTTACTCTCTTTCATTCATTGTGGCTGCAAGATGAAATATCAGAATGTCCTTTAAAGTCTCGTATGACCTTTCTTTGTTGTTTCCATGCAAAGAAAAACCGTTACCTGCTTATGAAGTCTTGCAGAGTGGCCTATTTAGTTTCCTCTTTGTCTCTCTTCAGCAACAGAAGTTGTTTTGCCTCAAGGCACCGATTGCAGAATGAGCTTGCTTGCTCTCATTTAGGGATACCAGTATGCATATAAATAAAATATACAATGACCAGGCTGCATTTTTAAAAATAGACTATTCACAGACCCTCGCCTCTTCGTCATGCCAAATTTTTCCCTGACATGTTTCATTCGTGTTCGAACATGCTTTTAGTTGAAGGTGGTTAAATACTGTATGTGCATTACACAATACATAGTGTAGCTCATAGGAGCGCCAGCACTGTCACATGTACTGTACAACAGACCCAGCAGGCAATTAGCCTACATGCTGACTACATCTAACTGAGAGGGTATTTTGCTCATGAAAATGTCACATGCAACTGTCTATATATCCACTTTTCGGAAGGTCATACCCACATGGACCATGCATTGTAAAGCATGTGCACATGATTTAAACGTTGCCTGACAGGGGACGTTGGAGGCATTTCACTAAAAACCATCAGCAAAATTGAAAATCACAATATGCTTTAAACATGTGGCTTCGACATAAGAAAGGCACCTAACCTTTGACCTTAAGAAAGATCAATATACAATTCCAAATGCCTGGATGTCACTGTGAGGCTCTCCATCCCATCAAAGGAGATTTCCAAGAAGAGGAACATGTTTATAGAATACTGTACAGCATGAGGATTATTCATTGTGCGGTATATATGACTTTACTCTATACACATTATGTCTATGGGTCTTGCCTTGAATGTGAGTATATTTAGACACATTTGGAGGTATTACACAGATTGTCCATTTCAAGATAAAGATAAAGAAAGGGATTTACAGAGCTGAACGGCAAAAAACAATTCATAGATCCCATGTGAAAGTGATTTTCTTTGATTAATAATGTATGTCTGTTTTTTCCCAGAAACACAATTACAGGGAAAAAATCCACATCACACGTTAGTGAGTTGCTTTTCTTCTGAAATAGTTGATATGTAACAAAATCATACTCATAAAAATACCTGTAATTCTCGGATTTAAGAAAAGTACAACTGAGTCCTACTTTGGCATATGAATTTGAAAACAGCTTTCTTTGTACAAAATAAACTTCTGCACAGTGAAAGCTCAAACATCAATGTTCAATTACAGCAAGTAAAGCTTATCAGTGGAGAGGCACCTTCAGTTTTAGATGTCTACATTTGTCTGTTTAGGATTGGTTGGAAGGTTTACTCTCCGTTAAGGCAGACTGTTTGTGATATCATTTATCCTCGAGGCAACTGAAGGACTGCTCAAAACAATAATCAATTAATTAAGTTGTTACACAAACCGATGTGAACTATCTTTAAATGAAAGCAAAAAAACACTATCATAACAGCCAAATGCACATAACCCTAACCCTAATCGACACATCCTTCATGGCATGTATTTCATCATTTTACCATGAGACAGGGTGTTTATTTTCCCATTGTATTGAAGTGGACAAAGGTTGTGTTTCTCGGGGTGAAGTTTAACCTGATCTCACCTGCAGAATCTGGGAGGAGAGGACTGGCGGAGATTTATGGTCTCTGGAGATAACAAAGTTAAATCCCTCGTTGCAGCTTTTCAGCATGCTCCATCCCTCCTCACTGCAGTCAGGATGATGGATTAGGCCGCCAGTGTGAGGGGGCCGAGGAAGAAGGCAGCAGGGACGGGGTATTTAGTGTGATTGACCAGGCAGGATTGCTAGTTATGTTCACATCGATATTAGCTAAAGGGCTGTCTCACACTTACACACTCTGAATTTAGATTGTTTCAGGATGTTTATTGCAACAGATGCTGTCCAACAAATTGCATCTGCAGATATTTTATTTGTATTGCACCATTGTTGTGTTGACAGAAACACGGCTACATAATACCAAATGAAA